TTCACGTGCAAATATAGATAAAGTACTTTCAATTATACTCATTTGTACTTTATGTGAGACTTCAGGCTAAACCATTCAGCTTGGAAACAATGCTTAGCCGTTCACTAAAATCCTTCCTCAACATAAAACAAGAGAGTGAACCATTTGGCTTGAAAACAATGTCTAATTTATCTCAAGTCACAAAAAAAGATGAAGTTTGATTATTCGGCTTGAAAACAATATCCAACTTCAGTCAGGAACCTCAAAAGAAACAGATAGACCAAACCATTCAACTTGTAAACAATGCTTGGTCTAAAAAATCAAATATTCTTGCCCTCATAAATAAATACAATAACCAGACCATTCAACTCAGAAACAATTTATGGCACTTCATAAGACACGCAAAGAAAGATAGCATTGAGTCATTCAACTTAGAAACAATGTCCAGTAAACGCATGCAAAACTATCTTCCTCCCACATTCCCTTTGTTCATCCCTTAGAGTGATTTTTAGTAAAAAAAAACAAAAACAACATTCACGTATGCATTTCTTCAATTGATATGATTCGGTTATGAAAAGAAACAAAAGTCATAAAGGAACACATGCATATCTCTCAGACAAACTAGAGAGATGTAATAGTAGGGGCATAGTGGGTTTACACATGACAAAAAAAAATTATACTTGTAGATTCTTTGCCTCAAAACTTTCGCAATCGGTGGAGTAACCTTCCACAAAAGACCTTGTTGCGGTCTTATGGGTTGCAATCCCGGCTGCCGCATTTCTCTCGCAACTAAATATCAAACTTAGATTAAGAAGAGAAGAAATTTAGGTTTCAGACACTCGAGATACGAGAAGGGGACAGACTCAACTCACAGGATATGACCTTGTTTCCTTGATGCACTTGATGACCCCGCAATGATGGTGAAAATGCAGCAAGGACGACCAAACAACAACCAAACGCAGAGTAACAACCTTCTGATGATCCTCAAAGTTGTCGCACGTAGTGAGCATCTAAAACAACTATCTATCAAAGTTTATACTCAGACTAAATAGAACTTACACTTAACCACATGCAAACCCATACCACAATGGATAAGTACTCTCACCAAAAGTCCCAAGTTGTTTCATCACAAGACAGTTCATCGATCCTCGAGATGATTATCCATTTTACCCATCTTACAGATGACATGACGCTTGACCACTCAACTTAGAAATAATGACTAGCATGCCCTTAGATTATACACCAACAAGTTGCACAACTACTTCTTTCTTCTCTGGACATGTGACTATACCATTCAACTCAGAAACAATGCCTTGTCGCCCTGAACTATTTAAATATATGAAATTTAATAAATTGATGATTTTGTCCTTAAAATATGGGCAAAAAACTGAGTCATTCAACTTAGACACAATGCTCAGGTTGCCTACTTTACTTCCAATTATACTTTTAACTTTACCTCTCTTCTTAGTGATATGGCTTAAGTTGGACCATTCGATTTCGAAACAATGTTCAACTGCCTGTTCACATGCAAATATAGATATAATACTTTCAATTCTACTCATGTGTATTCTGTGTGAGGCTTCAGGCTAAACCATTCGGCTTGAAAACAATGTTTAGCTCTTCACCAAAATCCTTCCTCAACATAAAACAAGAGACTGAACCATTCGGCTTGGAAACAATGTCCATTCTATCTCAAGTCACACAAGTGTATGAATTTGGACCATTCGGTTTAAAAACAATGTCCAATTTTAGTCGAAAACCCCAAAAGAAACAGATAGATCAAACCATTCAACTTAGAAACAATACTTGGTCTCAAAAATCAAACAAGCAAGCTTTTAGAAATAAACACGACAACCGGTTCATTGAACTTAGAAACAATGTTTGGTCCTTCAGAAAACAATTAAAAAATTATAGCATTGGGTCATTAAACTTAGAAACAATATCGTGCCTTTGGTTAATCCGGCCAAACCCAAGATTAAACAATAGCACAAAATTTTATTTTTTTCCCCATGAATCTTACAAATGTTGATAAATTTTTGTATCAATTGTTGTACCTTGCAATTCTCTAAAATCAAAGGCCCGAAGAGCGAAACTTGTGAGATTTTTCGGTTCATATTTCAATTTGTTTTTTTTTTGTTCTATATTTTGATCTGCCTCGACGTCGATTAGACTTAGAAATAATACCGTGCCGTGCCTTTGGTTAATCCGGTCAAACGCACGATATTTCACATATATATATATATATTTATATAAAAATACTTTATTACCTACTTTCATTCGACTGGTTATGGGTTTGAATCCCGGACAACACATTACTTGAACATGATAATTAACTTCAATGTCAATTTTTTTTTAAGTTCTCTATTCAAATAGAAAAATTCAGAAAAAAATGATATTGAAGTTAATTATTATAATAAATAATTATAGTGGTGATCAGGGTTACCTGACCGAACGTTCGGGGGGCCCCGGGCTGGCCCCCGAACGTTCGGGCGTTCGGGATCCCGTTCGGGGGCCGAACACCTCCAGGTTCGGCCCCCGCCAAAAATATTTCGGGGCCTAAAAATAAGTTTTTTCTTCTGAATTGTTTTTTGTGAGTTCTCTATGATGTAACCTACACGACTATAAATTTCGAAGCGATTCTGCTAGGCCAAGAAAACATGAAAAATCGTTAAAGATGGGGATATCAAAACGTGCTCGCCCACTTACTATTTTGTTTTTTTTCACTTTATTTTGAGGCCTAAAAATTTTTATTATTTTTTGAAATTTTTTTAATGAGTTATTGATTATGTAGACTACATATCTGTAAATTTTCAGGGCATTTGTCAATGCCTAAAAATAATTAAAAATCGGCAAAGATGGCGATGTCGAAAAGGTGCTGGCACACTCACTCATTTTAATTCTCTTTTTATTTTTTCTTATTTTTATCATAGTGTTTATTTTCTGTATTGGATTTTTAATTCAAATTTGGTAAGGAATTTGGATGTAGTGCCCAGACAAATGTTGTTTAGGTTATGTTTCTCCATAACATAGTTTGTTTTCAAAATTTTGTGGAAACTTTGTTTTTTTGTTTTTTTTTTTGGTCCGCGTTCGGCCTGAACGACCGAACGCCTCCCAAAGGTGTCCCGTACGTTCGGGCGTTCGGGTTCAGGCGTTCGGCCCGTTCCGAACGTCGGTAACCCTTGTGATTATTATTATAATAAATAATTATAGTGGTGATTATTATAATAAATAATTATAGTGGTGATTATTATAATGGTGATTATTATAATAAATCATTATAGTGGTGATTATTATAATAAATAATTACAGTAGTGATTATTTTTTTACAGACCACATTTTCTCCGTTCATCCCTTCGTCTAATTTCCAGTCAAAATAAAAAAGAAATTGGAATTCACACATGCATTCCTTCAATTGACCTGATTCAGTTATGAAAATAAACAAAAGTCATAAAGGAAAACATGCATATCTCTCAGACAAACTAGAGAGATGTAATGGCAGGGGCATAGTGGGTTCCTATATGACAAGAGAGAATTGTACCTTAAGATTTTCCTAAAATTCTCTATTCGAATAGAGAAATTCAGAAAAATTTAACATTGAAGTTAATTATTATAATAAATAATTATAGTGGTGATTATTATAATAAATAATTGTAGTGATGATTATTATAATAAATAATTATAGTGGTGATTATTATAATAAATGATTATAGTGATGATTATTATAATAAATAATTACAGTGGTGATTATTTTTTTATATACCACATTCTCTCCGTTCATCCATTCGTTTGATTTACAGTCAGAATAAAAAAGAACTTGCAATTCACACATGCATTACTTTAATTGACCTGATTCAGTTATGAAAAGAAACAAAAGTCATAAAGAAAAAACATGCATATATCTAGGACAAACTAGAGATATGTAATGGCAGGGGCATAGTGGGTTCACATATGGTAAGAGAGACCCAGGTTTAACTCCTGGCGGTAATGGACGTCGACTCAAATTATTTATGAATGGATATATCGACCAAATAAATTTTATTTTGGAACAAGTCAAAGGGTTTTCGATACTCTTCTTAGAGATAAAATTTTGTTTTGAGTGGCCACTAGTGGGATAATGCAAGAATCATTATGAAAAAGCTCATTTAAACTAAGGGGCTCGTTCCACACTCCTCGGGGCATCCTCGGGCCCCGAGGACGATTACTTGGAGTCGCCTAAAGAAATTCCGGCCTTCGGTCCACTCATCCTCGAAAATGTTTCCCGATGAGGATTCCTCGGGTGCTCCCGCGGCCAGTTAGATATTTCAATACGCGGACGAGGGGGGGGGGGGGGGGGGGTGGGTCCGAGAGAGAGAGAGAGAGAGAGAGAGAGAGAGAGAGAGAGAACAGATAAGTCTCCAATATCGCAGCTGGCTAGAGAGAGAGAGAGGGAGGGGGAGGGGGCGAGGTTGGTCCAGCGAGTTGTGTCCGTGGCGTCGTCCTTGGTCCAGGTGCTATGGGTGGCGCGAATTCGAAAGTACGCAGCGGAAAAAAAAAAGGCTACGAAAACGGCGCGCAGTCCCGGATTCGAATTTTGAAATTCGAATTTCCGTAAGCGAATGACTGAGGCGTGGGTGTCCCTTACGACTGACGGCAGCAACGTTCGTCGGCGGGACCGTTTGGGTACGGGGTGGCGGCTGCGTGGCTTCTGCTGGCACGCCGAACGTCCATGAATACGTCCGAAGCAACAGGTCCGCCGTCACACGATCGCCACCGTTGTCTACTGCGCTACGCGCACCTTCGCCGTCGACGTGCACGCCGTACAGTCCGGTTGTCACGACGCAACATCGTTGTTGTTCCCACTGAAGTCGAGCCTCTTCACTTGGCGACGACGAGCGATGGACGTGAACGGGGACACGGTCCATGACACACTCAGCAAGGCGGAGAGGGCGGCTGTGGCAGCGGGCGTGAACCTGATAATATCAGGTGTCAATGGCAGAGGACCGAGGGGAGGATGAGAGCAGTCATTCGCGCACGCCGGAAAAAGACGCTGCAGGCCATGCATATGGACGAAGAGGGCAGTGGTGCCATTTGCGACGCCGTCCTGCAGGTGTGCTATGCCATGGGGTGTGGAGCATTTCCCAGAGCGACGCCCAGGTGGTGGATGAAGCGACGAACAGGGGGGGCGATGTAGCAATGACGTTTGTTGTTGCTCTCCATCGTCGACGCCATTAGCGCCCCGTGCTTCTCCATGCATTCCGTCATTGCCTCAAAAGTTTGCTGCCTCGTGCTCTTCTTCTTGCCGAAATCGCCTGCGCCACCCGTCGTCTGCGAAGGACCTTTCGTGGAGTCGTCATCGTCGTGCTCTGCACCACCGTCCCGGTCGTCCACAGATTTAGGATCCGCAAAAGAGGCGGACGGCAGACGCACACCACCCTGAGCACCAGTGTCGGCGACGTTCTTCGGGTTTATGGTGTGGTTCTTGGTGGTCGACCCCAGTATTTCATCGTAAACCGCACGATCCATATTGAAACTGAAGCCCTTCGACATCCTGTCCTTCCCAGACAATTGGAAGAAGTCCTGTTTCCCGGACAGTCCTTGGAAATGATGAACCTTCTTGAACTGCTGCATCAAATTGTCCCACTTCTTTCCGCACCGATCGGCCTCTCTGTCGACGCCCACCTTCTTCAACCTCGTCGCCACATCCAACCACTTCCATTCTCGCGGCTTCATCCGAGCGTACGCGTGACCCATCCCCTGCAGATGCGCATCCTGATCACGTTTAGCCCGGGTGAGGGCTATAATGTCGTCGACGGACCAGAAGTGATGACCTCCTTCCCCATCGACGTCACCTTTGGCATCGCTACCCTTGCCCGCCGTCCTTTTGCCCCGACGACCATTGTCGACACACGACTTCGTCTTCCCGCCCCTCCCTCCCATAGCGGCCGCTTGCTTCGACGGCGAAATGTAGCCTGCGTCATCCTCCCCACCTTCAGCGCCGTTGTCATTCCAGTCGGAGTCGTGCGCGTCCGCCACTGCTTCCTCGCAGTCGTGTCCGTCTTTCCCAACACGCAATCGTTGCACCCCCCGAGTTATGGACTCCTCCCGCCCCGACCGCATCAACCGTCGTTGTTCTGCCCACATCTCCCTCCCGTCACGTGCGTCGCGAACATCAGCGATGCCACGCGCCGTCTCCCCACACTCGCCAAGACGGCGGCCTGCAATCGAACCGGCGGACAGGGGAGACGGAGACTGCATCCAGTGGGGGTGAGCGGAGGCACCCCTACACACAGACGACGAACGAAATTGCTGCCTCAGAGGATCCTTGTTGTTCCCCGAAGCCTCCCACAGCGGCGCTGGAGACCTGGATGTTCGCAGAACAACCGTCACGTCGCTGCCATCGTCGTCGGGATGGGGGTTTATGACGACCGTTCAAGAGGCGGCTGCCGACCTACCGCTACCAAGTCCAAACGACAGATTCACGCCGCCATCGCCATCGTGGTCGTTGAGCCCCTGCTAGAGGAGTTCGGTGTAGGACTGCCCATTACCGCCCTCGCGACTTCCAAACAGCTCTGTAGCCGTCCACTCCTAGGCGGATCCGCTTCCCCGCCTCCTCGTCGGACGTGTCTGGCATAGGTTGCAAGTGCGGTGGCAGGTGCGCGTACCCAGACCGCTCCGATGGCCTTGAACTATTCGACGGGCTGTGCCCAGACCGCCGCCCACCGTGCTCCCCTGCTGACCCGCTGATCGTCTGCCGGCCCTCCATCCTGGCGTCGTTCTTGAAAGACCTCCTTCTGCGGCCACGTCGAGAAACGCAGCCGAGGATGCACATGTGGAAGACAACCAATAGGAGGAGCAATAGGACGACCAGCACCAGCAGCGACAACCTCCAAAAGACGTCGGCCATGAAAGGCACGTGGATGACGGTGGCAGCTAGAAGACAACGGGGGATCTATCACGTAACGGCGAGGGACAGTGCTGCAAACGCTTAAACGCAGCAAACGAAAAAAGCAGGGTAACGCATTCCGTTTGTGAAGACAGTGCGCAATCGCCCGGGCGGGGGACGGTTGAAATATTCGAATCTGCCGACTGTTGGGCGCCTTCCCGCTCGGGGCCAAGGGCAGCGACGCAAGACAGCCGCTTTTCGACGTTGCGGAGGTCAGCAGGACACAAAAGGCGACCGTTGCTGGACTGTTCCATGACGCCGACCGTTGCCGATCGAAGATATCCGTCCACGGGCGCCAGGAACAACAGTGGTACAGACGGCCGTCGAAAAATGTTGTCGAGAGAGCTGCCGACGACGTCCCGATTCTTCCGGATGCTCGACCTCTGAGGGAACTCGGGAGGTCCCTTGGGGAACGCCTTCAAATGGCTGTAGCCCGAGGAATCCCCGAGGAATCCCCGAGGAAATGTTTTTACATTTTTTTTTCAATTTGTTCCTCGAGGATAAGTGCAACGATAATTTCCTCGGGGGATTTACGCGCCCGAGGAGTGTCGAACGAGCCCCTAAAGGCTTCCAGGGTCTAGAGCTGAGTCCAAGTTTTGAGAAGGTTTGCCAAAGGCAAAATCTGGTATCATTCCATTCACTTATGATTTGTATTGATTTAAGGCTTCTATAGGCTAAATCTAGTTTTATTGTTATATTGTTGTATACTGGTGGGAACCTTTCGACTTAGTTTCATATGATTGTTGAAATTGTTGTGTATTGTGTTCGTTGCTTTACATGGAAAATTCATAAGAATCCTAACTTTTTATTTCGATGGTGAACGACGAGGACGTCGTTTAATGGGTTCCGAGAATGTTGTCAGGGCGAATACCCTTACAAGGGTATTTGCAGGGGATTTTTAACGTCGGACATTGTCCGAATTTTTTGTTGAAGTGAAGGACGTGATGAGACTCACGTTTGTCAAAAGTTTATTCAGACCAACTTATGACCGAGAGACTGGAACTTTTCTGAACTTTAGTTCAGACGCTTACAGCATCCGAAAGTAATGGTGGTAGTAAGCGGTCTTAGCAGGGTTGCAGAGGCATGCAGACGTGGAAATGCTAAAGTAAGATTTATTTTACCTAGAACAGTGACGAAGGACTGATAAGCCGCGCGATTAAGGGCCTAAGTAGGCATAGAAGAATGGTCGCGGTGCGAGAGGAATAAGAAGCCTAATATTTTTATTTTTTTTATTTGGGCTGCAAGATTTGATTCCACGCCAAGAGCTGAGAAGTCGGCGGCGCGGCCTGCACGGTTAGGTGCCCGCTCAAGTTGTTTATAGGTAGCTGATTACGAAAAAAGGGGCAGGCTAGCCATAGGTGGGCGGCCTACTGGGAAAAACCTTTCATATAGAAGGGTTGCTCTTACTATACCAGAAGCAAGAGCTAACCCAGTAGGTATCACGCCAGATTTTTACCCCGCAGGCACGAGGATCGAATCTGATCGGCCACTAGGCGAACTCCTTTTGATGAAGCAGCCCCGCAAAACGGAAATGCTGGAACCGTCAATTTTGACCGCAAGATCTCCAGATTAAGCGGCTGAGATCAGTCGCTCGTCACGTGGAGATTAGCATGGCCCCTGTGCAAAAGACACACTTAAATCGAGAAATGCGCCAAAAGTTTTTTGAGTTCTTCAGGACTCGAACTTAGGTCTGTATTTCAACAGTTCGCGAAGGTGTCTTGCGATGTGACCGTTGACCAAGGCCAACGGGATAAAAATAAAAGAAAGGAAAAAAAAACTAAACTAAAATTGAGGCGTCAGTTGACGCCGCAAGAAGTGACTGGGCTTTGAGTCTCCATCACATCTCTTACGACACTGGTTAAAACGGTGTCGGTGTGAATACCCTGACAAGGGTATCCACGGTAATTTTTGCATGTAACAGGAAGTAAGTTTGAAGATCTAAATGTGTCGCACGAGTCGCGGCAGAATTTGTTGAGTTACGCTAATAGGACGATTGACTAGGAGCAAAGTGTGTGTGGGCGCGCAGTTTTAAGGCACGCGCGATGGTTTTTTCTTTTGATAGCGTAGAGTCGGCATGCCCGCCGACAACTTTTTATTTTTTATTTTTTATTAAGGCTAGGAAAAGTCTTTCATATTTGAATTGACCATGGAGCACCTGCATTCATACGGCGTACGCCATCGAGGGTGGTTTTGCTAGGTGGCGGCACACTTGTGCTGCGGGTGCGTCGACAACCAAAGGGAGAAGTTTACCCCTTGATATAGCAAGGGCCGGTGCATAGGTGCCCTAGACGTAGGTTTAGGCCTCCGCCCTTATACCCTGCTTACATAGGGCATAAGGCTAGACCACCCAAACTTATGGAACATATATAGCATAGCCAAGAAGTATACACAGACACAGGGCACAACAACTTTTCTCTTCTTTGGGCATATGACCAGGCCATCCTAGTCGCCCTGAACTGTTTAAGTATCCAAGGTTTATATAATTGCCTGTACTTAGTCTTTTGAGGTAGCATATAGCTGAGTCGATCATCTTCAGCTCAAGACTCAGCCTGCCCCTTCGTACCACAGGTTTATTCTTAGTTAAGTACTCTCTTCAGTTGGTGATAAGCTATAGTCAGGCCACCCAAACTTATGGAACCCTGCCTGACTAGCCTGTTCATAGATAGCATAATAGTAAAGTATATCAAAGTTATAGTCTTCCGGTTCCAGCATGTGCGAGGCGTTGGACCAAGACCACCCAAACTTATGGAACATGTCTTGGTCCTCAGCCTGGTTTACTTCTCTCTTAGACCAAAGCAGGAAGAGGTAGAGTCACCCAAAATTTTGGGACATGCTCACCTCCTCGTTCAGAAACCAAAGAAACTGTCAAAAACCCTAAATAACCAAGGTCGTCAGACTACCCAAACTTATGGATTTGACTAGCGCCTGAAAAAACAATCACATTCAGCCTTACGAGTCAGAGCAACCAGACCACCCAAACTTATGGATTTGTCTGGTTCTCCATGCAATCCAAAAGTAAACATAGCACTGGGCCTTCCCAAACTTATGGAACTGGCCCAGCCCTTGGTTGACCCGTTCAAACTCCATGCAATACTGCCTTTCTCCCACCCTTCCCCCAGATGCAACCCCACAATCTGCTTTCAATCAACCAAAGAAGTTGGAACTGGACTTTATACATGCATTCTTTTACTTTGTCTGGTTATGTCCTGAATAGATAACAAGATTTATAGGGACAGGCAGACATACATCAATCAAGTTATAGCGGGATATGCAAACATGGGTGTAGTGGGACGTACAGATAGGGATGGTATACCTGATGGTTCCCTGCCTCCAAAACCTCGCCTAGGTTCCGGCAGAGCTCCCGCAATCGGTGGGATGACTCCCCACAGAGTCTTGGCGCGGACCTACGGGTTTCAATCCCGCCTGCCGCCTTCCTCTCGTATCCTTAGACTAGACTTAGAATAAGAAGGGTAGCAGTAGAAAGATTAGACTCTCGAGGATCCAAGGGAGGTGCTCTCAACCTCACGAGAGAGGGCCTTGTTACCTTGATGCGCTTGAGGGCCCCGCAATGATGGCCAAATCACACCGTTGCTGGTCAAACTGAAGTCAAACTGCCGGCAACCGGTATTCTGACAAGGCCTCGAGTCGCAGCGATAACCCCCTTCAAAGTCTGGGATAGTTCAATAGTGGCGAGTAATAATATGTAGTAACTAACAACAACAGTCTGCGCGCTGCAGCATTTCTCAGCAGTCTGTAGCGGTGGCCTGTGCACAGCTCACAGCGGTAGGCAACAATATGCAATAACCAGTAACCGGCAGCAACAACAACCATCAACAGCTGCAACAGCCCTCTGTACTACCGTCTGTAGACAACCCTGCAATGCCCGCATACGGCAGTCCCACAACAAGGTTCGAGCATGCTACACAGCCTAGAAAGAACTGCGTTTCGAATAGAGCACACCCCCGTGCTCTATTCAGACGCAGACCGCAGTAGCCCAGCACCGCTGTGGCGCACGATGGCGGTGTTCAGCGATCAATACTGCCTCCCACAGATGCACAGCGGTCGGTACCGTAGCTGCCCAATAAACTCATCAGAACCCAGTCCGTAGTAATCACCTGCTGAGAAAGCGTGGTGGCGACACAGCCGCCGTAACAACGGCCAACTACTGCTGGAAACAACCGCTGCCCCCTTTGAGATCACAACAACGACTCCACAACGGCAATCGCATCTCGCCATGTAACTTCCGACCCGTCTAAGTATCGACCTCAGCAAATGTGTGGCAACCAAGTGCCCAGTATACCACAAGCGGCCAGAACAGACTGCAGGGTGCACAGCTCGGCAGCGCTATACAGCAGTAAGCTCAACAGAGTTTCAGAAAATGTCACGCCGCAACGATACGACCTCGCCTCCTTCCTAGCGGAACATCAGCAATAGCGCACAGTCTGTCTGTGTTGAAACAAGGGCCTGTTTGTGAGCTTGTGACCTACGGGGACCGACCATTGGTAGTCTGCAAACGTCTTCAACCCCTCGCTCTACCCTGTTCAAAAAGACTGGGCACCACACGGATCAATAGGCAAGTCCCCCCCCGGCTTCAGGCCGTTCTACACAGCAGGATGAGCAGTGGGTTAGTCAGTAGCGTGGGTCCTCGAACTCTGTGGCTCCCCTGCAGCCACTCTGCTCAGTCCGGTAAGCAGCCTTTTGGCCAAACGGGCGAGTCTTCAGGCTCGCAGCCGGGCCCACACCAACCCTCTGACTGTTAGATCATGGCTAGCAAACAGCGTCCTTCACCCGGTAATTCTCCAACTTGCGGTTGTCCTCATGCTACTTCCGCTGTCCGTATGTGCAGCGCACCACTCAGCAGGTACGTCTCCTCTCCTACTTCCTCTCTCTCTCTCTCTCTCTCTCTCTCTCTCTCTCTCTCTCTCTCTCTCTCTCTCTGCATGTCTTATAGCTAACCTCGGCGTTCAAACGGACCTGGCAGCTCGCATGTCCAGGTTCAATCGCATCAGCAGAA